GAATACGTGATTATAACTAACATGTATTTAACAAATATATTTTATAAAGTGAACCTTAAATAATGGGAACAATTGATAAAAGAATATCAAAATTATGTTTATTACATTTATTCAAAACAAAACAGACAGCCTCGGTGGTTTAGCGGCTTAGCACATCGCCATACTTCCGATAGTGGCGACTTCGATTCCTCGCATGGTACAAACATTTGTATTCAAGATCATGATTGATTGTATCGGTAGGAGTGTTTCTATGTATATTATGTATGTATTTATATTATATACCTATATATTAGTAGTTGTCTAGTACCCAAAACACAAGCTCTGCTTACTTTGGGACTAGATGGCGCTGTGTGAATTGTCCTGAGTCGTTATTTTAATAATGGCATTCACATAAATGGACATCGGTATACCTAGTTTTTTTATATCATGTTAACCGTGATTGATGTTGTGATGATTTTATCTGTTTATTTAGCTATAATATAATAATAATTTATATAATCAATTATTTTAGTTCTCGTAACACAATGTATTATTTCATTACATTAAACTTACGAAATAAACTAACCGTCACTTCATTTATCATATTACTATGGATGTTAATTTTTAACATATTTAAAGTTGCCAGAACTTTATATATTCAATTTAAAACAATCCTCCAACATGTAAGTACCGTTTAGGCAACTCTTAGAAAGTATTCACTAACATGTAGAAGCCCCATTTAATAATTGATTGAACACGGAATGTTTCCACAAAGTTTCAAAGTCAAGCCAACTGTAACATATATTATCGTAGAAGTGAAAAACACAGAAACCCTCTTTAGAACATGTGGATACTCAGAAAGACATATAGAAGTTTACAACGGGTGCACATTGGCGGGACACGACGTCGTAAAGGAACCCGCGGGTAATGGCTAGTAAATTTTTACAGCCCGAACACAAAACTTATAACGCAAATAAGGCAATCCAGTGTACTTTATAGTCTAAGAAATGACCTAAGGGTCTAATAAATTCTCTTTTCGCACTTAAATATTGCTGCTCAGTAATTTACACCCAAATACAAACTGTTTTATTACTTTTCATAATATTTAAATAATATAATAGATTAACGTTTTTTATAAGATTTTTGGTGTATATTTTGGACGATCTGAGCATATCCAATTACATTTTTTATAGGTAATACACCCTTATTACCTATAAAAAATGTAATTGGTTATGCTCAGATCCATATCCAGAAGTATACATTATTTTAATTTATAGAAGTATAAATTACTTCTGGATACGGCCGATCTTTTGCCGGGTCAGCTTAATAAATGAAAAGAAAAATGTCCTAGAAATGTAACTTCACTATTATTAATGTAACTTCACACCCGAATGTTCGTGGAACATCAAAAACGTAACCAAGAAACAACTTTAACCCACAAAACAACCTAATATAAATACAACACAGACACGAGTATCTGATATTAAGTACGTATCTATAATATATTATTTTATCATCACCATTCATCAATTTATCGATGTTTGGGAAGTACAACTTACAGTATGTACCAAAATCAAGGTAAACATACTGTAATCCTAGATCTAGACATTTTTTTTTCACTTGAGGAAATTCAATCATAGAGTCCCGTTCACTCCGAGAGTGCCGGACTCCTGTCGGCTGAAATCCAAGTTATATCTACCGCTTATTGCCAGAGCCACGGGTGTGCGTGCACAAGCATTGAGATCTAGATAGTGCGCAACTTGCCACTGTTTTGGAAAAAGGTAAAAAGAAAAACAATGGAAAGTATTCGTTCATACATCATCATTATATTGTTGTTATAATAAATCTACAACGGGAAGAGACTATTTACAATGCTCCAAGTCTAGCCTAAAACTGAATACAGAACTAAAATTATAATCTGACATGATCTTCATGAAGACCAAAAAGCGATGTACTTTTTTCGACTGCTTGTTGAAAAAAGTGGATCAAGTGCACGTTCAGACATTGCATTTATATTCATCCCGCTGAACCATATATTTACTATGCACGAGATGAATATAATAAAGTAATATAAAATATCTTAAAAGATTTTATATGTCTCTCTATGTTAAAGTTGAAATCTGATAAAGTTATATGGAACATATTCCAAACAATAAATTTTATTTTAGTACAATTATTTTATGTGTTTGCTACCCTTATCTAGAGCAGGCACTGCGTAGACCTACTACATTATACAGATGTCGTAAAACTAAAACTATTGTGAGAGATCAGCATGCAACTGGAACATTACCTCTTCGTCGTTCGTATTTTTGGTACGACACATTATTTACTTTCCACATTATACCTATACCTATCTATGTTACATAACAGAAAAACAAAAACACGACGGAAATTTCCGAAATTAAATTAATAACTTAATGGACGACATACACATTTCGAATATCAGTTTCAAATGTACAATATAAAAAGTCTATTCTAAAACAATTAAATTATTTGTTAATTTATAAATTAAAAACTTTTAATTTATAATTTTGATTTTGATATATGTCATAGTATCATATCTATACATTTCAGTGTCAGTAATGAAAGGTTTAAATAAATATGGAACTATATAAGATACCAGTATTAGTATTATTTATGTATCCCTTACGTGAATCCTAAGAGTAATGTGTAAAGGTTTAAATTTATTATTCTCAATTAATACTAAACAGAAAGCAGTAATTTCTTGCACTTTGTATTAATTGTAATGGTCGCCATTAACTATGATACTTAAAGCTGTTTTTCCTACAATGAAGCAGAAATTTCATGAAAAATATATAGAAAGTCATAGGTTACATAAATTGATATATGGACGATTGGATGCATAATTTATTTCCAGCAAATTACATGAACTAAGGTCGTAGCTCCCTCCTTATTCACAAAAGTGGATTCCGCCCACAAACCACAAATTCGTTTGCCGCATATTGTTTCTGGTAACTGAACAATTCTGTCTATTTATGTAAAGTACGGCTTTATAAAATAACATAAGTTTAAAAATATGATAAATTCCAACATCTACTTGAACTTTATATGCAATATAATTACTTTATTCTATATTTCGAAGATATATATTAATATCATAAATTCAACAGTGCCAGTCTGTTTGTTTGTTATTTTTCCGCACTACACAACTAAATGCCATATAATTAAAGACGTAAAGATATATTATATCACAGGGACGGACATAGGCTATCCCAGAAAGTAATCCGGAATTTTGTGAAATTGGTGTGAATGTCCGTTTACAGACGAAATAGCAGCAACAACCATTGTTACGTAATAAATAATAATAACCCAAGACAATTTACATAGCGCCATATAGTCCCAAGCTAACCAAATGCAACATAGAAAAGCCCGATAACAAAACAATTATACTCAAGAATATTTACACCGTGAAAATAACGCACCCGCGACTACTGGATGTAAAGCGGAGTTCTAAAATGCCGAGGCCGGGCCCGATTTATAGCCATGTCGTTCTTATTTAAATTGTCTCTACCATTGTAATTGATGATGGCATATTATTTTTAAACCAAACCATGATTAGCCGGATCGATGTGAACTGAATGCCTGTGGTTGAATTATTGCATTGTTTTGTGCGTGCGTGTGCCGCGCCCCGGCGGCACGCAATCCTGGCATGTGATACGCGTGTACACCTTACCACAGTTACTAATATTAAAAAAATAATGAGCTTATTACAAACTGTGACACATATTTTCATTAATATTTAATATCCCTGCATTATAAATATATTTGAAACCAATTATATTGGTAAAACTCTATACTAGTAGTAATATAGTAGTAATATGTAATATTATGTTATCTGTGGTAGTAAGGTAAGGTAAGGTAGTACTATATAAATATGAAAGCGTATCAGTCAGTATTTTAAACATTTGAACAAAGATTAACAAGATTTTTAACGTAAAGATGAATTGTATTACGAGGACTGACATATGAAATTTATTCTCTTAAAAAATCAGACGTAAAAATTTTGTATTTATACCAATTACCAATAAATAAATCTCATACTTATAATGTTTCTCCATTATTTTTATCACCGTGTCAAAAATTTTGTCAAATTAAAATTCATTACAAACCTTGGACCTAGAACTTGAATCAGTAACCATTAGGATATAACGACCATAAGTCATACACATGCGATAATCATTTAAATACATACAAAATTGCTCGTAACATTTAATTTTATTTATTTATTCAAAAATGACATGAAATATATTTTTTATATTTTGCAACAAAATAAATATTTCCAGTTGTTTCTAATTAATTGGAATGTATCATATGTTTTAATGATTTACTTTTTGTAAATGAACACGTCAACTATGAAATATATGTATGTATACAATACATTATGAAAATAAAAGCATAAAAATATACAGTATTTGTATTGGCATTCATGTCATGTCTCCACTTTAGATAACAAAGGTTATTTTCCCTTTAATCCTTTAATAATAATCCATTATACTAACGGACAGCTGGCTACGAGCTCGCTACGCATTAGCTACGTCACTGTATCGGCCCAACAATTTAGCTATAAACATTTCAAAACCTCCAATGTGTACGTGTCACACAACATAATGGCTGTAAATGATCGCAGAATATAAAAGTAAAATGTCTTGTTAGGTGTGCCATAATCAGATTGCGGCATTCGTAGAGCTTCACTGAACCTACTTCGGGCGCTCCCACCGTATTTACGAATTGGTTCAATAGTAATATATCAAATTGTCAAATCTAAGTATCTTGTCAAATTTATAGATATATATTTATGTCTATATCTTTTATTTATTAGTTACCAGGCAGTTCTAATTCAATCTTAAATCTTTTAATCCCTAATTAGTGTATTGAGTTACACTACAGCAATAATGATTACGAATGCATTTCAACCTTCAAAATGCAGAATTCATGAAAGAGATTTGATTCTTTTCGTATTTACCTACAATTTGCTACAATTGAATAATGTATGTATGTACCTTATTATTTCATTTTTCGAGTATTTCCGTCGCGCCACATGTCCCTGGCCGGCTGTCACAAAGGCTTTATTTTTCACATGTCGGGTCGCGTTCAAGTAGCCACGTAGAACTGACGACACTGCACTTATAACCGGCACTAGAATATGGGAGGTCAGTACAAAGTACAGGCGTATGGGGTCCCGCGCGTGTTATTGTTGTGAAACGATGTCGGTATCTCTAGGTTTTCTCACAGCGAGTGTGATCGTGTTCTAGCGCGGGTGAACATGCGAGACGCTCGGGCGGGCGGTACTGCGCGACTGCGCGGAATTCATCGCCTCGCTCTTGGTCCCCGCTCGATACGCTGGCCATGAAAATTTCAGCCGAACCACTGTCAACCGGTGGTGGCACGCAGGTACAGGCGGTACAGCGCTCCACTATACTATACTATCGCATGCCTGCCAAGTCACAACTCAGCAATCACATATCATAAGTCACTGACAATTACTTTTCGAAAACAGATAATAGCAGATATTTAAAATAAGTATATCATCGATAAATTCCCTATTTCTGCTGAAATTACATAGTTCTTAACAGAAGTATTTAATAGTTAAAGACTATTGTATATTTGTAGACGATACAAATAGTTACTCGTGACTTCGTCTGCCTTTTTTAAATAACAAGTCGACCTCATAATACGATATATTTTCATTCCAAATTTAATTAACATTTGTTCAATCGTTTAGTCGTGAAATGTAGCAACACGGCCAAACAGACAGACAGAAATATGCGCTTTCGTAGTCATAATATATTTTTTATAACGTCGTAGACAAACGAACTTATGGCACACTTAATGGTAAGTGATTACCGTTGGCCATGAGCACCCATAGGAACTGCAGGTGGTATCGGCCTTTTACGAAGTTATAAGATTTTTCTTGTAAATTTCAATATCGTATCGGTTCCAAAATGGTAGACATTCTGGAACCGATACAATATTGAAATTTACTGAAAAGTGACGGAAAACTTTGGAAAAATACACAGTGCGGGACCTTCATTTACCCAGATATACCCGGATGGTATTTTCAATTTCCGACAGATAAAGTGATGTTGAAATTGAGCAGCACCAAACAATTCCTTAGAACACTGACCATGATATATGTGGTAGAAAATGCACACAGATGCAATGTAGAGACACATTGCAAAGCCAATGGGTCAATTCTGTCACAAACACATTGATTAGCAATGAATCTGGCTGCTCGATTTTGAAAGCGGTGAAAAATTATTTCAAGTTAATTAATATGATAAATATATAGTCTCATGATGATTACATAAAGATCTTTAAAATTTAATTTCTTACACAAATACGTCATAACAATACAATACAATTGAACATGTATGAATAATTAGACTTTTTTAAAGAACTACTATTAGAACAGCAAACAACAATCATTGTAAGGAATCAACAGTGCATATAGAAAAGCTAGACCACATTGTTATCAACATGACGTCGCACTGATCACTCGTCATTAGAGAATACCATGCTTCCTTGATTTACCAAAGAATTTTTGGTCCCACCCACAGTCCCTTAAAACATTACTCCGCAAATCATTTCTTGAATAATCTGCAGGAAGTGGTGGAAATATAATGCACATTTGTCAATATGTCCTACTGGTACCTCGTTTCACAATAATTTCGCTACGATATTATACTAACCTTCAAACGTAGACGGTAACAATACAAGCGACGAAGATGCCCACGCAAATGTCTTTCTGATAACATCACAACAAATAACATGTAGGTATAAAATGTAGGTTATGAACTACAATATAATTTACCGTCTCTTTAAATCTTTACTCGTTTCAATACTTATACATCTCACGTTAGTTATTAAGAGTGAACCGCTGGAATCAGTGAGCAAATGCTAATGAACACACTTATTTTTAGCCTTTTGCAGTCCTATATGGAATAGGTTTTCATAAATATTCAGTAGAGTTATTTAAATTGAGAGCTTTTACTCGGATGTGTAGTAAGAAACTGTATGTACCTATTTTTAACCGTTTAAAGTATATGAAGAATTTATAGTGTCACGGCGATGACACTATAAATTTACTAGGCGTAGTGGTCTATAACTCGTATATTAACGAATAAAGTCGTAAGTTCAAATTTGGATGTCATCAATTTTTTTTATGTCTGTTTATATTTCTAACTCACTGATCTACACGGGATGTAAAACACCAATTATTATCATCCAATTTAATAGTAGTGACAACGGCAGGCTCAGCCCCTAGCATGTTGGATTAAAATATATGTAGCGAAATATGAGTAGGTCGAGTGTTACGTTCACATCAACATCGATATTTGACTGCCGCTGAAATACTGAATACCTCATCTGGGATAACAATCGAGGATGTGTTTTTTTAATATATGAAATATAATAACATATTGCATTTCATATATTAGCGCCATTACTCAACGCTTCAGTTGAGATGCTCTTGAGCAAACTGTAGCCGAAGTTGCCGGTGGACTGCAGTCAATTTGGGGCCCGTTGCTGGGCTTTTTGGAATCAGGTTGGCTTCCTTCAGACGTATTCTTACTGTCCACTCGCTGACAGCTACCACCTCTGCTCAGCTCACCCTGCACGTAAGGTGCCGATCGCGCAGAGAGGTTAAGACAATGGAATGGTCGTCTTGTTCAGAAGTACAACGGTGGCAGCTAGTTGTTGGTCTCTGAGTGTGTGCTCCAGTCCCTTGATATCGTCTGTATACTCGGGATACAGCAGACTGACTCAAGTGAAGTTGGGAAGCGACTACTCGCTGACTGATTGCAATAAGGCAACAACTTGCGCAGCTCCTTGAGGTGTGGTATGATGGTTTCTTGAAAACAATGAATGCAATGCGAAGATGTGTATCGGCCAACGTTTTATAAGCAACTGATAAGGGTTGATTTTTTTTTTTTCGTTCTACTCTAATGCTGTTGGCCTTTACAGCTTCACCGGACGTTATGGGGCGAGTGCAGATGGCACTCCAAACCCGCGGAAGGACTTATGGAGCGGCTGAAGGCCAACTCCTGCCCGACGGATACGACTTTAGTCTAAGGGCACCACTAGGGGTTCGAACGTCGGCTCAGGCCGTCGTAATTTCGATCCCCATTTGAATTGGACGGGGGATCGATCGGAGGGGCGCCCGGGGGCGCCGGTGTTGAGCGCCCGGGCGCGCGCAGGCGCCCGGTTGAATGCGCGATAATGTGTGTTTGAGGTCGTCGTCTTCGCCGGCGAATACGGTGTCGTGTGTGTGTGATAAGGGTTGAAAAAACCCCATAATGTGTGTTTGACCCTTCGCCGGCGAATACGGTTTTGTGTGTGATAGGGGAAGGGTCACTGGGGTTTTTATAGGGGTACAGGGTAGCGCAACTCGCAGGTATCGTATTGAAATTACTCACTACGATACCTGCGAGTTACGCTAGTCCCATACGCCCCAACTGCGCAAATGAACATGTTGGTACTTGTTTTATTTTATGGTGTTAATGTTAGTTATGATGTTAAAGATAATAAGTAATAAATCATATGAAACAAATCAATAATAATAAATATAGAATAAAGATATAGAAATGTCACCAAACATACTATGGGACACAATACCTAGATACATCAAAATAATAATTGCAGTTATTAATGGCTAATAAGACAAATTCCATACTGTCTACTAAGCACTGCCGTGTCTAAATTGTGTCACCCCACCTTACATTTTCCTATTGTTATTTAGTACATAAGATCATTATTATATCTATGTACATATTGTCAGTTTATTATCATCTGTAATATGCATCGTCTTGACCAACAACATCGTATCATTTACCCGCAACACATACCATATATAATACACAATGAAGAACAGATACATAAAGATATACTGAGAATCTGATATTCGTTCATTATCATTTAAAAGACATCAACGGGAGTAATTATTAGTAATTAACTAATTAATTAATACATGTGAGAAATCGGTATAAAAAGATGTCTTCCTATTTTCGTATTGGTTTAATATTATAATTAAATTTGACGAGCGCGGTGTTTTAGCTTTTTATTACACTGCCTTACTTCCGTTGGTCGCGGGTTCGATACGTCGAACAGTATTCATGAGTATGATTATTTGTCTGTCTGGGTATTTACTATGTATATTAAGTATGTAGTTATAAAAAAATATTCATGTATTTATATCCGTTATCTATCTGGTATAACACAACCTCTGCTTGCGTAGCTTGGTACTAGATGGCGCTATGTGAGTTGTTCTAAAATATTATTATTTACAAGACAAGTAACAACGTTTTAAGGCACCTACAATTTTCCCTAATGATATCAATATTTAATAATAAAGTATATAGGACTTTTTGGAATATTACTTCTGAGTTTACTATCATATATATTGCATAATTTTATCAGCTTTACTTTATTTTGTATTTAATCATTTTCTTTTACATTTTGTCTTTAGACTGTGGGCAAGAACGCCACCTGCGGTTAATTTTTATTCATTAAATTATTAAATTCTTTGCTTACAATTTCATCTCAAACTCTCAGTTTTAGATTATACTATTTCTATTGGTCTCATAACGTAAAGATATTTTTCTAGATGGCGTTGTAATAATATTTTTTTACGGTAACGGACTGTAATTATATTATTGCTAGTTTACCTCATACAGCAGTATATATATAATACAGCTAGAAAGATTATAATTTCATTTAATTTGTCATGCAGAATAAAACATTTTTTGAACGTAGTTATCATTTAAATAATAAAAGGTTTTACTTGATTTTTTAATGTCGTAAATTCTAAGATTTATAGCATAAATGAAAATATTTTAAAAAAGGAAAGTATTTATTTATAGCCCGCAGTTTTATGGTTTGTCTTAGCAACCAAATTAAACAATCTCATTCGGGCAACCTTTCCGACTGTATATGTAGTTTAATCAGTATATTTACTCTTTGTATTGGTAATACACTGATTAAACTATATTTTTTAATGTACTTGAAATTCCAAACAAGGTGACTGCCCTCCTGCTGGTAATTAGTAATACGCCGCTGATATACAGGAACAGACATCACATTATCATGTGACGCCAATAACCTTAAAATATAATGATAGGGACAATAACAGGCCACTGTTGCTTAAACAAACACTTGTACACAATAAGTGTTATAGACAGGCCTCTTTGTCGGGACTGCTTTGAAGCCGAACATGTAATCCTGGCGTGCGTAGTGGCCACATTATGAACACAGATGTTCGAACGGTCGTTCATTAAAGCCTGTGAAGACAACTAGGAGACTTCTGCAGTCTCTAGACCGAGGACTTGGCTAGGTATTTTAGTTGTCCCGGATCTACACGCGCTACTACCCAGATAAATGCGGAGAAATAGAGTCTAATTTATTTAATTATATATGTGACGACCGAGATACGTTGCAATTCCAGAACACTAAGATGTCATGCTTCTTATTCTGTTATTTAACTGCCTTATCGTAGCCTTTAACCGAATCACAGTTTACAAAAGAAGTTGATTTACGATTTATATTCGTAGACTGAAATACCCGCGTAGATGCCTTTACAAAGTATCGAAATACGATATCAGTACGTAATTATATCCCAATAGGATTGAATAAATAAAAAATCTGATACACTTGTTTAGTTTTATTACACAAATATTTTATAAACACATTACTGAGACGTTGGTGGAAAACTACAAAATTACACATAATTTAAATACAAATATTTACAAATTGTTATTTAATATCATAGGGCATAGGTAACCAACGGGTTGAATTATAAAGTAGAAAAAAAATAGAAATTTACTTAAAATAAACTTATTAATATTCTGAGATTGTAAACATAAGTGAAATCTATGAGACAATAAATATAAATATGAGAGAAAAAGTATGTTCTAACTTACACATTACTACTAATGAAGAGAAGTAACCAAAACTTTCTTTCAGAATTGTCATTCTATTTTTGTTAATTTCTATCGCCTTGCAAATATAAGTGATGTTGAAACGATACGTATTTTAATAATTTATACACCTATGTGTTTAGAATTACTTAGAAACCTAAGTTCAAATAATTTAAAGATATGGTATCCGGCTGTAAGAAAATTTGTTTATAATTGTAAAAAAAACATACAGTTCAAAATCAATATCATTACGTTATTAAATGTTAAATAATGTGTTACATAATGCCAAAATAAATTATGTACCCAGTAATATATAACTTTAAGTACATAAGTATATAATTTATCGAAAATACCCAAATAATTATGTTAACTAAAAATTAGGGCATAATTAATTTGAATTTCGAATATCCTAACCCGTTCTGAAATATGGTGCAATTTGAATTTGTAAATTAATTTTCATTGTGTAATTTAATACACGCCAAAAAAAAACTAAAAGAACTTACTGAAATGTGATATTTTATAACAATAAACACCTGAAAAAATTTTATTACTCCTTTTATCAATTAAACTAATTTTCTATCTGGTCTTCAGACTCGAGTATAACATTCAACTCTTCCTAAACATTTTCTAAAATTGTAAACAGCTAGCAATTTCTAACAACTATTTAACGTACAAAATACTTTGACATATGTACAATATTAAATTCTTCAAAGCACATATACAAATATAAATATATAAGTAGTATATGCCGTACAGTGAATTCGGTTTCTCAAAATCTTTTCATTTAAAGCTCTTCTCTAATTTTGTATACAAGTAAACAGCACCTTGCACTTAGACATAATTATTTGCCTTTGGCTCAGTATTATTCTAAGGTATTGAGTTTTTATTTACACTTTCATCATTCTTTATATACAAAATGCTAAGTCACATTTACATATAAACAATACTTATTTATATTCCTACGGATAAAAAAAGGGTGGCATTAGGAGTAACTTTTTTATCAGTACCTTTGTATTATTTTTAGTAATATAATTCGCAATTGAGTACACTTTTAATGAAACATCAGTCCCGTTCAATAAAATAGTACAGTTAACACAACAGACACAAAATAAACAATGAGAGGAACTTGAGGATTTGTACAGGATCACAGGGTTCTGCGCCAAAAGAATGCCCAGGCGAAGGCTTACTGCGTGTACAATCAGGGACGCTTGCCTCGTGCCTTTCCATTTACGAGCTCATTCTGCGTTGCTTTGCGTGGACGCAAAATAAAATTTAAGTTGTATGCTGTGTTTACGGCGTAATATACGTTGGCGTTTGCAGGGAGCACCATTTCTGTAACAATACAAGAATAAGTAGTGGAAAACTAACGATGTTTTTATTTAAACCTTAATGAAAAAAATAAGTACTTATTTTTATTTACAATAAGTTTTTAATGTTACGTTCGTTTGGAACGTAATCAATACAGTTACAGTATTTGTTTGTCACTCAAGTTGCACCGTGAATTAAAAACAGGTTTATAATTAAAAATAATAGTAAGACTAAGATCAATTAACACAGACCTACACGTAGTCCCAAGCTAAGCAGAGCTTGTGTTATGAATACTAGACAACATTTAGTTTACATTTTTTTTAATACATACATAATACATACAAAAATATCCGTACCAATACGAATATCGAATCGAACTCGTGACGATCGAAAGAAAAGCGATATAACCACAAAGAGGAACTGTTTTAAAATTCTGTTACAAAATTTGGATATAAGGATATAATGGTAAATATAAACGATACAATAAGGATTATTTAATTAAATTAAGAAATTACAGAATAAATTAGGAAAGTTAGGAATTATAACGTGTAATAATAATTTTGTTCCAAACATATTCTTATCTTGGTTTAGTAATAAAATCGCTGAAAATTAAAAAGTCTACAAAATTGGTTCAGGACTGAGGAAAATTTCGAATAATATAAAAAGCCACTTAAGATTCCATGAGTTTCCATTAAGAACAGAGATTCCATTAAGAAACAGTTAAGAAAGTCAACATTTTTAAAACTACATTTTTCGATTGCCACCAATCACACATATATAATACATATAAATTATATAGATATAGAAGACAAACAAATTAAAGTTTTGCATATTTACCTCTGTCTGGTAAGACTTGAGCCAATGTGTATCCATCGGGATCACCCTCTAAGTTGAGTTTCAGCATCGCGTTGCGTATCACCTGCGGAGTTCGCTCGTTGTTGCTCAGCATTATGGATTTGTATAATACTACGCCTTCCGTCTCCACGCAATCCGACTCGAAAGTGACTCGAATAATATAGAAGTCTGGTCCGCTTCGCGAATTCGCATGTGCCGGACTCGCTGCGCTTGTTTTACCATTCGCTTGTTTTTGATTACTATTTGCACTAGACAGAGACACATCCAGAGAAGGTAAAGACGACGACGATGAGCCATGAGATAATCTAGTTGGTGACGCTCGACGTTCTAAACTGTCTCTCTTCCAGGCATTCCCAGTTCCGTCAGTTTCGCAATAGAATTGTGAACTATTACTGGAACTCGTACTAGCGATCGAGTCATTCTTTCTGTGTCCTTGATTATTACAATCGTTTATCTTCTTCGGTCGCCTTTCTTTGGGCGGGTTTGTTGGTGGTTCTATTTGACATGAAAGCTGATACGCTTCTCGATCGTCCAACACTATAACTGAATCGAACCAACGGTCAAACATTGGATCTGGAGGTAGTTGGTAGGCGTTTGCAGCGCCCTGAAGTAATTTTATTTGGGCAAGAACTTCGAATTCCTTCCTACGTTTATCAAAATTTATAAGACCATCTGCCACTGTATCTGGTATAGCAGTATCGATCATAGTAAGATCAGTTAGAAAAGTTCCCAAATAGGGTATGGTCCCATGGCTCACCCCAGGTGATCCCCGTTCATGTAGAAGCTTTTGTAGTTGTCGATCATTTTCGCCAACTGTATCGGCAAACTTAGCCGTTCCCTCGCGCATTAACAGTTCTCTCTGAGCCCATCTATTATTATCCTCGCTAAAAATTCGGGCGAGCTCATCAAACAACTCCGACTTCTCCTTCTGTAGTAAAGCCCATGTCTTTCTCAATCTATAGACGGGATTACTTTGTAATCCCGATATTATGGCTTTCAACGATGAAAAATTCTTGAGTACTCTCAATTCACGGGCAATATCTAACCAGGACGCGAGTATATCGGCTCTCTCATGAGCCTTTAAATTGGGTTCAACTAATACTGTAGAAATAACTCTAAAGGACACTGCATTAAATTGATTTACCGTGGCCGAGACAGTCGCGGCGTCATGAGATCGGTCTTTGTCTCGCCGTGACCAGACTGCACCTAGACATTGATGAGGTACTAGCTTCTTGAACAATTCCATGTCCATTCTAGTTAACTGTTCGGCGAAGTGTCGGTGGGGTACATGCGGCAGTCGGTAGGTGCTGGTATGGTGCGCCGTGAGCCGCATACCGGGCGCCAGGCACACGCCGCCTCCGACGCCGGACCCATTGCGTTCTGCACTGAATATTGCTAACTTCTGTAACACCTGAAATTATTCAATATTTACTTAAATATTTCAATTTATTGTAAAATTATTATCGTTATATTAATATGTGAAACAAAAACTTAGCGCTTTTTACGAAAATTGAGCGGTGGAGTATAGTCAGTGGTCAAATTGAGTATAGATTAATATTATTTTTCTATGGTTTTTCTGAATGGCAAACATAACCATTATATTACAATAAATACATTTATTACAATTATATATATATATATATATATATATATTGTAACAAATGAGTTTATATATATTATATATAGTAGTTATTAGTGAAATACCGAGCGCGCAATATGAAATTTAAATTTTATGTAAGTATAAAATTCTCGTGTTAGTTACCATACTCCTCCCAAACGGCTTGATCGATTGAATGAAATTTTATATGCGTATTCTGAGAATCGGCTACTATCTATTTTTTCTACCCCTAAGTAGTAAGGGATATCCACCCCTAAATATATATTTTTTATTTTTTCTACATAACATTTTATTTTCATTTTATTGTTATTTAAGATTGAAAAATACATACAACTCTAAATTTTCACCCTTCTAGCATCAACCCCTATTTTTTAATAGCGATTTTAATTTATATGGCAAAATAACGTTTGCCGGGACAGCTAGAGTCAATAGAAAAAAGTTGTCTAGCAGTAATCTGAATTTAGAACCTTAATAATGTTCAAACTTATAATTTCAATTGATGATTGATGGTCGCATTCGATTGATTTCGACCACTGGGCAGTTATAATTAAAATTGTAAATAAAATAGGTACAGCATTACAACTACAATATTATTTGTACATACTACAATATTTTAAATTATATATACTTAATGCAAATAAATAAATATAAACATAATCTTATAAATATAATATAAATAACATAATCTTATAAATATAATATACCAAACTGAATGCAATGAAAACTAATCAAGCAATCTACGGAAAATTTTACAACATATTGTAAGTTGTATTAAGAAGGCATAGGCTACTTTATATTCCGATGAATCTATTGATCTATTGGTACACGTGACCGGGATATATTTATCCCACGCTGGCGGGGCCCTGAATAAAAACTAATAGACAAATAAATACCATGTGTTCTGGTTTATACAGATTAAAGATTCTAAGATAAATATTTGGATATTTTTTTTATTGGTCTCATTGGGTTAATAGAGGTACTATTAGTACTAGTACTTGCTATATAAAAAATATAAAACGATAACACTTGTGTTTACTTTTAATAGCATTTTTAGAGCACCGTACTAATAATGGTTCACTATTTCGACTTATACTCTCCTGAGTTCAAATCAGACCGACACTAAAACATTTGTATATCCATTTCTATTTATGACTAACTCTCAGTTTATTGAAATAAAACCAAATTAATTCGAAAGATGGCGATAGGTTCACCCACTGCCATGTTGAAATCAAATATATGCGAAACAGCCTGCAACCTGTGAGCATATCAAATGAAGGCAACACAATGACCAAGACATCGACAGTAGATAGTGCATCTGACTTCCACATCTGGAATAACTGCTGTGACCGTAAATTATTATCTTATTTATACTATACAATTATATGGGCAGAAAAGGATTATTAATAATATGATCAAATTACTACATCACTAGCAATGTACCAAGTCACTTTGACCTCCACGCGGTTCCCCCCTGACCGCATGCTACCCTATCATCCTCCACTACAGTGCCGTGTTAGTGCAGGCGGGTGCACCATTCCAAACCATAAAAAAATCTACAAGTATATCATGTGCAATAAATACCTTCAAATGTAGCTCCGAGCCTGTCAAATGAAGCTGTGTGAAGGCGAGTAGCTGTTGCAGTGCGGGATGGTGCGGAGCTTGGCGAAAGTCCTCCGGATAGGTATCCAACCATACATGGAGACATGCCACCAGAGTCCTGAAATGTTACATTGAAGAGATATTTTTCACATCAAAATTCCTTTACTATTTTTAAAAATTTAAAACACAAATATAGAGATTGTTTCAACCTTCACTAGTGCCCCATCGGGCTAAATACAACGAAGACAAAAACATCATTTGATCTATTTAATTACAAATACACTATGACCTAACATACATTATGTTTTATGGATATAAAACGTATAGAATATATCTATCCTTTAGTTGTAGGATTATTTATAGCCGGCATGTGAGCATATGCATAGTTTTATAAGTATGTATGTATATGTATAGTATGTAGCTAGAGTTGTGCGTGCGAATAGTTTTTGCCACTTGAATCTGTCTGACTACACCGACAGATAGATTAACCTAGTGTCAATCTTAGAAGTAATATTATGATCAACGATATATACGTTATAAGAAACATCTACCATCATCTGCTCTTTAATACTGACTAAATAGGTATATCTTACATAATATGTAGACTTATAAATCGCATATGAGTTGGCTAGCTAAATCCTGGTTCTAAAGTTTTCGATTTTATATATTTTTTATTTTGTTATATATTAACTTTCCACATTTGTTATTTATGAAAATCAAGGATAATTCGAAAGAATATTTCTCCAGCGCCGTTCCACCACCGTACGTTGAGAGTAGCTCCACCCACATACAGTGACATCCCTGCTGATCGTACCAACCGATTTGCATAATCTTTCCTCATGCGAACAGCTAAGGAGTGGAACTCCCTCTCAACGTCAGTGTTTACTGCTGCTTTTCAACATCAGGTCTTTGAAGTCAAGAGTGAATAGGCACTATTTGAGCTTGCATGTAACATCACTTAACAACAGGTATGATTACGGTCAAACGTGCTAAAATTTTTAATATATATTCCACAAAGAATTGAAAAAGCAATAAATCAATTATTAAACCTACGGTAATGTACAGGTAATTAAAAATCTTACTTTCGGTGTTGTAGTGATGTATCGATTGCTGCTGTTCGGACCACATCCTCCGCAGCCAATGCTTCATATCGTCGAAGCAGTAGGTCCAGTACTCGATTGCACTCCGCGAACGATCTGCAAACAGAAACCGACCAAGAACTAGTAGGTTTTTTTTTATTGTAATTAAGCCTTTTTTTATTAATTTACGGGATACAAAACAACAGAACTAATAGGTTACTTTCATTTTCCTACAACTATGTACGTTTGTAGGAACGTGTAAAATAATTCAAACAGCAACTATAATATCTACTCAAACATAATATAAATCCAAACTAAAATTATAAATGTAAAATAATATCTGTCTGTCGCATTTGTTATCTTTTCAGGATTAAATGATAGAGCGAATCTTAATGAAATTCGGTATGAAGTTAGATAGTATCACGCGGACGGACATTAGCTGTCTTTATCTCAATGAATAATCTGAAAGGGAAAAGAAATAAGGGATGAAGATTTATGTAGCCAAAGTGTAAAAATATAAAAATATTAGGTTCAAATTATTTTCTTATAATTCTACTCTTATTTTTTAAATAACTCCTCAATATGTTAATTTAATACCTTTTAAAAATTTGAATAAAAATAGAAGTTTGTGATGTGGAAGTATAAAATAATCTCAAATTAAATATATCGATTAAAGTTAACATATTTAGTTTCTAATATATATTATTTTATATTCTGTAGCTCCTAAAACCATTAGTTTTATAATTAATCTGATTGACAGTTTTGTACCAAAAAACCACGAAATTGACTGCGTAACTGCATAATTATTTCATTTACAAACGAGTTTCGTCCAACAATTTTGCAATTACACATAATCAGCAATTCATATCAACATATCCATTTTGAAATTGTTAACTTAATATAAATAACAAATATAAATTCTTTAAGATCATATTACGAACCACCACGTGGACAATTTATACACAATGTATGCCTTTATGATTTCTGAATAGTCATCGTCAAGGCTCTGAGTAAGTGACCACTGGATTGTATAGTGCCAAGAAGAATTATTTATTTCTGTTCACAATTGGGTTCACTTATATAATTTAGCACTTAATAATTCGAACATTTGTCGAACGAACATTGATCAAATAATAAATTGAACAGTGTTTTTTTTTCCCTAAACGAGTAATATTTTCTTAATTATCTATACTTCTGTACTAAATATTATAAAGAGATGAAGTGCGACTTTGTACATTCGGGGTGCTATTGTCCGAATTTTGAATATTTTTTTATCCAGAAAGGTTATAGACCTTATAATATCACGCTACGGCTAACTGGAATGGAGCTTCAATGAAAAATGTAAAAACGGGTGTAAAAATGTCACGTAGTGGAATTTGCGCGGGTCAGCTAGTAATACAATTATTACTTAATGTATTAATTATCACGATTGAATTAAATACTTAATAATAAATGGACTCTCACCTATAAGTGGCCAAGAATACGTTGACATAAGTGGATTCGAGCTCGCCATCGTCCGTGGCGAGCGCCTCCACAAGCCGCTCAACGGTACCCGCTTTCACGAAGCGCACGCGCACCGTCTCCCACTCCAGGTGGGATATCTCATCATCCGATTCCTGCAACACCAAAATTACCATTAAGGCCTTTAAACAAAAACTTAAATTAACGTTTCATTTAATAATAAAAAGGTGTCTGCGTTGTTATCTCAATCTCATATATTCTATTCGTTAAGCAACTTGCTTTTTAAGCTGTATTTCGGTTGTAGAGCGAGATTACGTAAAATTACAGGAGTCCCTTACATGACATCGTAGTCCTCCAAAATGGCAATACATGTACAAATACAGTTGTATCTTGGTCGTTACATGATAACGTGATATTTGTGGTGCTGTACTTGTATGTTCATGGGCGACGGTTACGGCTTAACATCAGGTGGGCCGTCCGAACAATCACATACAAAAACCGATTTTAAACACCACAAAATAAGTAAGTATATTCAATATCTAACATACATAAAATTAGTAACGAAGGTAACATGTAACAAATCTAGCAATGCTAATTTGAGAGCTAATACAAATACAAACATTAGCTCTTAATTTTCAATATTGATTCACTATCAATGAAAATTATATTTTAATGGCAAAACGGCATTAATATTTGAATGATTTGTCATTTTTTTATCATTTGATGTGTGCAAATGGTCACAACATAATATTTTAATTAATTTTGTTTTCTTGTTATTTTATATTACTTTAAAAGTAATAACAACAAATTATACAACATAAATACATAAATAACTGAATAATGATTTTCGGAAACCAATAGAAAATACAAACTCTACGATACTTCGATATTGAGCGATGTTAAGGAAATGAGTGACATTTTATTATGGTGTTTGAAGAGGACAAGGATGTGTACACTCGGCGGCACAAAGTACACACACCCTTGATATTATTATAAACGCGCCATTGAAATATATTTGTATACCCGGTAGGGTTCGTTGGATTATTAATACGACATACATTAGTTCTTATAGACACTGTTTTTACGTTAATCTCTAAAGATGAACTTAGAGATGGGGTCAATTCTTTTTCTTCCTCAACTTTCCAATAACATATTTCATTCATGTACAATTTCATACATGGACCTAAACCTTCTTGGTTTTAGTCATATAAATTCCATTTTGAACTTATATGGATTCCATTTTGAACCAATACTGTTTCTCTTCTCAACTAGGTACGCATCAGATAATGGAAATATTACTGGAAACAATTTCTATAAAATTTCTTATAAATAGATGCTATAAACACATTATATAAACCCTCTCGACGTGACGTCAACAGGCTTTGATGAATATACTGCGTTATATACTCGTAAATAGAAACAGAATAGAATAGAAAATCATTTATTCAAATAAACTTACATTGAAGCACTTTTGAATAGTCATTACATTTTTTTAATCTACCGCTCGTTCGGAAAGCTGTCTCATCACAAGAAGAACGAGCAAGAAACTTGCGTGTTGCTCTTTTAAATAATTTTACTATTACTTTACATTTTTAAGTTTAAGTGTGTGAATACAAACCACCAATTAGCACTAATTCAATTAAATACTCAAATAGAAAAAATATTGAATATATAACCAACTGGTTAAACAATTAATAAGAGGAAATAAGTCATAGTGATTAGAGCAGACCAGTCCACACAAGCAGCACCCGTTCACGAGTATGACGGATGAGCCAGCCATCACTGCGCTCGACCATATTTTAGGGAGCCCAATGACCCGGCCCACCACGCCGCCACAAGTCTGGACATTTTAGTGAGCATGACTACTCAAAACACTAGACCACGTCAAAGCTACTTACAATTGCCATCTGATAGTTATAGTATTCACATTTTACATAAGAATGCATGCGGCAATCAATACAAAAACCGCTACGCTTGCATATTTCTAAAATAATTAAATCAAGAAAGCAATGAGAAAATTAAATTATAACGTTGTATGCTAATAAACTAATTATTTACTTGATATGTTGTCATCTATGAATTCGTCTATCCTGTAATAGGCTTTCATACATAAAAATTGTTTAATATAAGATTTGAATTGCTTCTCTGTCAGATTTAATGCAGATTCAGTTTATTATAAAATCTTACGCAATTACCATAGAATGAATTACTGATTATGTGTCAGAGTCATTGAGAAACTCTTTTTAGTCTATCTTTCTTTCCGTAGAGTCCAAAATTTAACAAACTACGTAAATTACATTCAAACTTTTGATTCGAATATTCATACTTTCTTATTCGTATAAATTCGAAACCAATAGTTATAATACCTAATAAAAATTTGAAAGTATCCTTATTATTATTTATGTTTTCTGGTACATTCTAGATTTCAAACTATTTCAAGCTGCTGGGTATTGATGGTTTCAACTCTATGAATAGAAGTTCCCAGAGCATTTATTCTAGTTTGAGATTCCAATCGTACACCGTTTGTAACTTGCCTATCTAATCTGGAGAGAACATAATTTACAATGTTATTTTTCAGACAATAAGATAAATGACTTCGATATATTGCTGCGAAATATTCACCTATTGTACATACGTAGGTATATCTATTTAATATTTGTTACATAATTACCAACTGAACACAACTTTACTGCAATTTCGTCTGATATATATATATCTATCATATTAATATCCTATATTCAGAAGTCGTTTTCCGATCGCTCTTTTTTATGCACCAGTCAATAATAACAGTTCTTTGTTTTCCTATATGCATTGCTAAAGTAAACAAATATTCATATACAAATTCAATGCAATTTATGCTACACTTATCTCTGTAAGTAGTACCCGTAACAATTATTAATAATTAAATAAGTGGCGTATAATAATTAAATAATATTGACAAGATTAAATATTTCACTTTTTTGGAGAGCATTTTAAATGCAAACCTTTACCGTGTTACCGTTTAAAATGTTAACCTGTACCACCGACCAGAACAACATCTTTTGTGAAAATTTCACAAATCATCTTTAAGGTACAAACACGATTTTTTTCTTTACTATTATTACGTCATGTCAAAATAATTTTAGTGGGAGACTTTTAACAAAGTTCTCTTTACAAGTCTTAATTCGAAAGGCTGTAAACTATAAACAGCAACATATCACCATTGTCTTCAGAATATAAATGTATAGGGAGCAACACACACGCCGTAGAATATTCTGGAGTATCTATAATAAAAGCTTGTTTCCTTTTATTACATAAAAAAAGCAAACAATATCATTAGTACAACGTTGATTCTTATTTAGATTTTATTCAAATATGCATTTCGAATCATATACCTATATACTCGTATATCTTACACTATAATATGACAATATTATTGAAATACTATACAACAACATTTACAATAATGTAGACTACTGGACAAATACAAAGTTCCTGTCTTTATTTATTAAAATCAAGCTAATAGCGACTTGAACCTCAACTCAAACACCCTAATGGCCCGGACACCAACATGGTATGAGAGTCTTGTATAACGAACTACATACTTCTAAATGCATTACAATACATAAACGTATTGTAGACTGCAAGTGGTAGACGAGATACCTACTAGTATTGTACCTACTAGCACATAAATAATATTCACAACTTTAAATTGATAAAGCAAACCTAAATACGAAGCGGCACATCAAATTATTCATAAGTTCATTTTGGGTAACAAAAGAAAAACATTGAATATCTGACTCAATATAGATTCATGTCGAGATAGCGTTAAATTACCTACGTAGGCTAAAAAAGGTATGAAAAAGTGAGTGTAGATAAATTATACCTACGTAGGCCTAAAAAAAAAATACTATGAATTTTAAGGAAATAAAAAAATATTAGTCATAACAATAATCACGCAATTATGACATTACATAAACATGTACCATATGAGATTAAAAAAAAATAATGATTAAAAAAAACTATGAATATTATTAACCAATAGGGTAGGTAGGTACTTACAAAAGAAAAAAAACTGAAATTAATTAATCTATTTACATTACACCAAGACAAAAAGACAAAGGTTTCCACCTTACAACACAGTGGAAATTCATGGGATCATAGAATAGCTTTTGGCATTCCACGGAGTAGAATCTCAAATATATAGTAGTTCCAAGCACATATAAATGAGTTCATTATAATTAACACATCATGTTATCATATGTTTAACTACACACCAATGTTCTACGTGTGAAAAATAGTGTATTACCTACTTGAAATAGTCACGGGATTTTAACATGAATAAGATTTTATCGGTTTGGACTCAATAGTAATTAAAAGAACGATTTCTCAATGAGAAATAATTAAAAAAAAATTATTTAGTTATGGCATTCGATATTATAGTTACTTTTAATCTAAACCTAGAGGATAAACTAAAGGTACTAAGAAAATTGATTTCGTTCTATTTTTCGGTAATCAGAAAAATTGGAGGCAATAATATCTTAAACTAACTCAAATTGAGCAAAACAGCTTTAGTAGTTCCTAAAATATATCTAGACATATTAAATAGCACAATAACCACACCTAACTTTTTGATTCAAGACTAAAGACTAATCTAAAATTATAATGTATATATGTACAATGTTTCAAAAACTCACAGTGTATCATAATAATATGCAGTACAACCCTGTGTCTTCCGGTGTTGTAGTAAACAATGTTGAATGTAAAATATTACAGAAAATAACGTTTTTATTACAGTAGCCTTTTGTGTTGTACATTATCGCGAAACATAAATCTGAGCGACGTCATACTCTACAATTCGCACAATCTAACCACAATAGAATGAACTATATAAATATTGAAGAATAAATTATAATTCATACATATTACTTTTAGATCCTTGAACTTATGCTTAATATATACCTTTAACTGTATTTAATTAATATTAACTTAGGCACACAGTACATATCCACAACTCTCACACTCATGCAAAAATAAATAAGGTACACTATTCTATAGAAAAAAAAGTCTTTATAACTGGAAAGAAACACAAATAACAAACCAAAATTAGTCCGCGAGGTAATGGTAGTCTCGCCTTTGCCACGTTTAATATACCACACGGAATACGGGCATGTCAAGTGACCAATACTTTGACTACTTTTTTGCATTGGGATAATAAAAATAATATATTTTTATTACTTACGCTAGAGGCGCTCCTCGTAGGCCGGTGGTAGCGTACTTTCTTCAGGTAGACGGTGTAGATAGCGCCGTCGACGCGCTCCTCCCCCCACAACCGCCATGTCGGCTGCTGGAACACACCACCACAAGGTCAACACAACTGACTGATACATTATCAATATACCTTCAAACATGGGGATATTTATTTATCTTTTATCTTCATAAACTCTCGTTGTTAAATTCATGTTAATTGTGAAAACATTAATGTTGGCATATTTTTATGTTTAAAATTATTTCTCTGTTATATATGGGTTCCGACTAGAATGGCAAATAGGCAGATATTCACATACCATTCTAGTAGTAATATGAATATCAGTATATTCAACGAATATTACGCGATACACAATGAGAGCAATGATACCACAAACACGTTGCTATTCCTGACAACTACCGTAGATTGTGACACCAAAACCCAGTAACGTTACTATTATACCTAAGCCAAATGCAAAGCTTAGGAATAATAGTAACATTTCTGGGCATTGGTGGTCCAATCTATTTTAGTTGTCAGGAATACCAACGTGTTTGTGGTTGAAATATCGGCAGATACAACTGACACCCACTTAGACAACTTTGTAAAAATACACTGTATCTGGTAAACTTAGTGGAACTAATATAAGTATATATTATAATTATTGAAGACTTACATTAATAACTTTATTAATATAAGTCTTCAATTATTATAATATGTAAGTTAAGCGTGAAAATATCAATTACAATAAGTTCTACATTTATCTCACTTACCATGTAAATACTACTACGTATCTATGTATATTTAACAATATAAGTTTCAACTCAGGTATATACACGAACGAAGGAATAACGACGACAATGATGTATATAATATACATATAATATTTAATATCTATCTTTAAAAATCAATAATGTTGATTCAGCCATGAAATATGGGGTGTAATTTGCACACTCTCTCGCACATAATAAGTGGGCGGAGCTATTATTTACGTAACTTGAGAAAAAGAAAATTTGCGCTTTGGTATTTAAGCATTGTAGTAGTAGAAGGTCTATAATAATAATATATGAATAAAACGAGAGAGTTATTAATTTATGAACTCATTACATTCATCATTCATCATTCAATCTTCCCATTATTCTCCACTGATACTCTACCCCGCACAGCGTTAATTCGAAACAAGGTCCAACACAGGCAAATTCAGAGAGACAGTAAAACATAAAAAGTAAGTATAATAATAACACTGAACAATTCACACAACGCCATCTACTTAGTCCCAAGGTAAGCAGTGCTTGTGTTACGGGTAATAGACAATTAATATAAACACTTAGATTATTGTTTACAATAGAAAACAGACCGATATAGATACAAGCAATCATACCCATAAATACAAAACGTTTGTAACGTGCGAGGAATCGAACACGGCAACCATCAAAGTAAATCGTTGTGCTTAACCGCTAGACCACCGATATCGTCTATAGGGTTATGGTATGTATAAGTATAAATTCACATAAAACAGAGGTGACTGTCGATACAAGCAGTCCAAAGCCTGTATTGCAATACAGGCTTTGGACTGCTTGCATTGTATGTTTTTAAGTGGCATAATCATGGTTCGCTACGTAATATCACTAAATATTCCAGTTTCGCTGAAGTCGATGACTAAGTGACTGTTAACTAGAGTTTGGAACGCCTATAATACGTTTTCTTTGGATAATGTAAAGGTATCGACCACTAATTCTATAGTATACAGTGAATAGAAAACGGCATGCTGCTTATGTTGGGGTTAATGACATACCTACAACATTTTGTTTACTTGTGAGATACGCTAGTGTGTTCACAGTAATGAGTCATAGCATAGATTATTACGCACGAGTATGTGCCTAAAGAAATGTGCGATACAGTAACAAATGTCATATTTTTTAATCTAGGTTACTATGTACGCACTTTAAACATTGACTCAGGATAAACAATAATCTCGATCTTTCTCCACGACGTGTGTATAATTTGAAACGATAATACAACTAAGTCGCCAGGGATGAATATAACCTGTCACATATAGTCCTAATACTCGTATTAATTAGGATTAATACAAAGATAAAAAAGTATTATATCATTTTCTATTTATACCATTATGACACTTACATAATCATCATCAACGGTATCACTGAAGAGCACAGGTTCGACCTTACTGACACCGCAAATCCTCCACATGGATGGGCCATCCGCTAACGTCACGCTCGACGTCACGTTAGCACAGCTGAGCGTTTCCCGCCATCGTACACACTTTCACTAACAAACTCACGGCACAACACTATATCATGCAAATCTAATGATGCTGTAATTGGATCAATCACTGGCGGGTGGAGAGCAAGTATGCGAGCCCCGCGGACGTGCGTGACGCAGGTGAAATCGCTGCACAGTCGGACACTGGCACACTTGTCGTTGGGTATCCGGATCAGCTCGATTCTTCGACATTAATAATCGATTTAATAAGGCAGAACCGCCCTTTATTTAACTGACACTGAAGCATACCAGATAATCTAGAGGTATAACGCAACTCTCCCCTTTTGAAACTTGATCTGTTTACCCGGTTCAATTTTTTTTTAATTCCACCACATTTCATTAGCTATGACGTATAATTTACATATATGTCGTTCATAAGTATTATGTTACTGATGGTAACAGACTATTTTCTTTAAAACTTTCACACTGTTAAGATGTTAAATTGATGCAACACTTAAAATTATAAAAACATTCTGTAATATTCGCGCACTAATTATCGCAAATGTTCGTTAACCTTTACGTATATTCAAGGTGAAACTGTGTTTTTCTAATGCAATGTCTGCAATATGTAGAAGCGCTGATACAGCAGCGCGAGCGTTGTTCGACTAATGAAAGATCGCGTGAAATAAACCAATAGAGCATTCCGTCCGCTGCGGGTAGACAATATACAGGTGCTAACTTCATTAGACGCGATACATGTATCCATAATAGTGTAGTTTGCGATCAAAATTACGATTGCAGGTTCGGCCAGTTTCAGCACACTGTACTTTCATTGTCCATTGATAATGAAAGCCAAATTAATATACCATTATTATTTTTTTTCTGCTACTGTCCACAGTCATGTAAAAATGTTCCATTTTTTAAAATAGACAATTGATTCCATTCGTTAAGTGCCCGAATAAATAAAAAAACAACACAGTATTGAAAGTGATTAAAAACCCAATATAGTAACGTAATATCAAAAAATAAATGGGTTTTGGTAGTCAAACAGGATCGAACTACTAGAAATATAATAACAACTATACATTGAGTAAAGTTCAAAGTTTAATGGCCTAAAGGACTGCAAAGTCAAAAATATTATATAAACAATAATAAAGGTATTTACATTTTTTTTTATTACATTACATTATGTAGTAATGACAAGCCGTAAAGGTTGTAAGCCATATTCCCTCCATATTATCCATATAAATCACCCAAATAACAAACATCAGATGTTCAGAGCACGAATTCTCTCTTGTAAATGACGGTAATTTATGTTTATTGCCAAACTGTATGTTTTAGTTGTACAAGTTTATATATATATACCTTGGTGCTAGAATTCCAAGGACACGTTTGACTCATGTGATTCCAAAGTACCCAGTTAAGTACCATATAAATTTAATCACTTCGTCATACCTTTAGCTGGGATACAAAACATGAAACTTAAAAAAGTTCACTTTCTAAACAAGTTTATAGAAAATCATTTCTTGCCAAATAATAAATATATCATACTTATAAAAAACGATATCTATTAAAAATGCAAATTAACTTAATATTGTGTCGTGTTAAATAGTATTTAAATTCAATTTTTGATTTTGATATTAAATAACCTCCTATGCTATTCCGATAAAAAGGATTAATTTATGAATAATACAACATACGTTTTGAGTTGTTTTTGATTAGGTACTGAGAGATTTGGTTTAAATAAATAAACTGTTAAACACACTATTTATATGTTTATATAAAAATTACTTCCTATACAAAGTATATAATATTATCGTATCGTTATAAAATGCTCAAATTAGTGAGTATGACAAAAAAATTCAATAATTTTATTACTCTATTGTATTCTAATTTACAGTGACAGTTTTTTAAAATAGCCGTATCATCCTTAATGTCATTTTGTTACTTGAATTGGACTCTAGTAAGTTAACAAATTTATTATATTTAAATATCTTAATTAATAAAACAAAATATTGTAAGTTTATACAAAATGCGGACCTAATACTCGTAGTAGGCCTAATATCTACTAGTCATCTTTTGGATGAACAAAATTTTACGTACTCTTTACTTAATTCATTAAATAAGTCGAGTCAAGATGAAAAACGTTTTTCTCGCTTGCTCTTATATGTCTTGTATGTGATACTACAGAAAATACGAGTAGGTAGTACATACCTAAGTGATAATAGTTACTCATACAACCGATATACTCTAGCTCACTGAAGCGACTCATAGTTAATTACAAATAAACGAAAGCGATACCTTCCTTTCCAATATTTTGTGATAACTATCCATTAATCGCTGCATAGCAAGACTTTTACCATTAATGATTATGTAAGCATTTGATATTCAGTTTTATCCAATGAAGCAATGTAAACCACAAATATAATAATATTCGTACAGATGCGGATTAGTACGAATTTGATATCACATGACTTATAATAATTTTAGGCTTTTTATAAATTATTAATAGCAATTAATAAGTTTAGGAAAAAAATTACATTCCGCAAGCGTTCTTTTGTTGGTATTGTTTAAATGGATGGCTACTACATAGTAGCCATCCATTTAAACAATACGCAAAATTACATAATTTTGCTTATAAATACATGAGAAATTATGAATTCAATGATTACAAATCCATAAGAAATTATTTATACAATGATTACAAATTTTGAATTCATAAGAAAATGTGAACACTGATTACAAATTTCTAAGATAAGGATATTTTTCCAACGTATTATTAAGTAGCCGGTATTTACCCATGTCCGACAAATGAAAAACTTCTGTAGAATGTCTAAATAAAAATGTTCAAAATTTAGAAATTTTTCTACATAAAATAT